CTTGGTTCAGAGAATTTTAACAGAAGATTTGGGAATGAGAAGGGGTCACTGGAAAATCTGTGCTTCGTGTTCTGACTGGTCAGGACAAAGAGTGTTGAATGGAAACATGCCGTGCTTTGAAAGAACAGCTCTGAAGCAACTCAGACTTTTCCCCCAAGGTCATTATTGGTGAAGAGACACGGAGCTATTCTTACGACCCTGACAGCAGACATCAATCAAGCCAGTGGGAGATGCCATCGTCACCTCAGCCAAAAAAAGCTCATCAAGTGAAATCAAAGGTCAAGTCGATGGTCATTTGTTTTTTTTATTTGAGGGGAATGGTGCATTTGGAGTTCATTCCACCAGGTCACACTGTTAAATCAAGCTTTCTATTTAGAGGTTCTGAAAATATTGGGTAACAGTGTGTGGCAAAAAAGGCCTGATTTGTGGGAGGGAGACTGGTTTTGCCACCACAACAATGCACCTGTTCACGCAGCCATCTCAGTGCACCAGTTTTTGGCCAAAAGATAGCATGCCTCTCCTGTGCCACGCACCCTACTCACCTGACCCTGCTCTGTGCGACTTGTGTTTGTTTCCACGAATGCCAAGGGGCATGAAAGGAGACTGACTTGACAAGTAGAAGAGGTGAAGAAAAAACATCAGCCATCCAAACAGATGAGCTTGAAAAATGTTTTCAAGAGTGGAATCGTAGATTTGACAGATGTATTAAGAAGTGTAATGGAAAATACTTTGAAGGGGATAAGGTTGTAAAAAAAATTAAATACATAGCTTTGGGGAAAATTTCTGGTTTTTTGAGAGGGACCTCCTCGCATATCAGTGAAATATACACTGTATTTCAGAAACGTCTTAACCATTCCAGAAATGGGCTAGCAAGCCTCCAGATACAGGCCCAAGGAAACGGAACCTCAGAAGCTTGGGGACTTGAAATAATCAATGTTAATACCAGATCTAATAAGAATTGAAACAATTCAGATGTCCAGAAAATTCCATACTAACATATACTCCAGCCTAACTGACATAACACTAAGCTCTAGTCCAAATCCAATCTAATTCCTTTTATCTATGTGATCCACAATTGTCTTATGAAAACTCTGCCTTGATTTTCTATGTTAAAGTCTTACAAATCTACTATTAGTCCCTGGGTAGCCTCATGGAAATGATAATATACAAGGGGGCTGGAGAAAGTTTCGGGGGAAATTCCATTATCTTTTAATTCCATTTTTCTATGAACTTTTGGAAGCTGCTTTGTTAACATAATTATAATTCGTTCTTTGGGAAATGTTTAAAATTCTTATTAAGTTATAATTATACTCCGTTTTTGACAGGACAGGAACTGAGCCTGAGCTGTATGTACTTCCTTACCTGCGTAAGAAGCATGAAGGCGTTATCTGCTCGGAGATGTTTGGTAAGGAATTCCACACAATGTGCCTCCAGGGCTGGGACTGCGTACTTCTTAGCAGTATAAAGAGTGGTCATAACTGTTTCGGGGCCAATCTGAACTTCATCTGAATATAGAAATCTGGAAAGCAATTGGAAATTGTAGAGATGGTTAGTAATGTTCTGAAGAAGCCTCTCCTCAGACTTTCCACTTCTGAGGGATATTTCAAAGGCAATGAGCCAACTGGAAAATTACCTGAAATCTGCATCATGCGCTCCAGTTCACAGGCACCTGCACACCCAGCAGTTCATTCTATTCGTGCTCAATCCTGAGAGGCAGACAGCCTCTCCATTTAACAGGGCAACTGAGCTTACATCAGGAGTCAAGATCACATGGCAGACTCATGTCTGGAAGTCAACACTTCACAGTTCTTTTCACCTCTCATGGTTGCTTAAGACAGCAGTGGTCCACTTTCCCCTCTCGTGTTCACTTACTGGATCTATAGAGAGCCAAGGCCCACATCTCTGAAGACTGAAAACATTCATTTCCTGAAATGGGGCCTTCTCTCACTGGCCATTTCTAACTTCCCACTGGCCGTCTGGAGTTATCCTAATGAATGCCGATTGGAGAGTCGGGGCTTTCGGTGAATAAAGCTATTTACTGATCCCAAGTGGTTTCTGCTTTGAGCTTTTAGGTTCAACTTCCTTTCAAAATACTGTCAGTCCAATACTGCTTTCCTCCCAGGTGACTGTTTTTCACTGCTCAAAACTCAGTGCCATCAAGTCGATGGCAGCTCCTCATGACCCTATCGGACAGGGCAGCACTGCCCTATGGGTTTCAGAGACTCTAATTCTTTATAGAGGTGCAAAACCCCTTCTCTCTCCCGAGGAGCAGCTGGTGGCTTTGAACTCCTGGCCTTGCAGTTAGCAGCCCAACAGGTAACCACTACTATACCACCAGAGCTCCTTCCAATTGCTAGGTCACTAGGTAAGCGTTTCCAGAGAACTGTAGACAAAGCAGAGATCCGTGTGAAGACACGGGCAGTTCTTGTTATGCTATCCTTGAGTTTTTGTGTATTATCCTTAGGCCCTTTTTTGGCTCTTCACACACCTTGTATGTTTGCAGCTCAGTTCTTGGCTTCATTTAGGGCGGCTGAAGGTCCTGGAGGAACCCTGGTGGTGCAGTGGTTACGGACTGGGCTGCGTTCCGCACGGTCGGCAGTTTGAGACCACCAGCAGCTGCTCGGGAGAAAGACAGGGTTTTCGACTCCAGTAAACAGTTACAGGGGGTCACTGTGTCAACGCTGACTCAGTGGCAGAAAGTTGAGAGGGTCTTGGGGAAGTGAAGACTTTAGGATGAAGTATGGACCTCAACTTAGCTAAAGACACTGAAGGTACCAAAAGACGAACTAGGTTAATTTTATGACTTTACAAAAAGTCATTAACTCTACCAGAATCCAGTACTACACGAATATGAAGGAGGAAAATAGGTTCTATGGCATGTTCCTACTCTTCTTTCCACTCCTTTCCCCTTTAATTCCTAGGGTCCATAATCGCCCCCCAGGATGAAGGCCTAGCCGGTTAGACCTCCTGACTTCCCCTGAGCACACTGCTCCCTTTACCGCGGTCTCACTCTCTTGCTCCCCACCTTCTATCTCAGCTCGAAAAGGGATGTGTGCTGCTCTTCTGAATTGCACGATTTCAAAATACTTTTTTCCTCCTTTTGTAGCCTTAATTCAGTCAACGGCACCTCCCTCAGAATAATCCTGTATCTCTATCCAAATACCACGCTTTGGGGTGAGCACGAGGAGCTAACAATCAAGTATCCTGAGAGCGCTCATGTTTGTGAGGAAGGGGATTAAAAGGGAGAGAAACAGACACTTGTTGGGTGTCTGCCATGTGACAGGCACCATCATTTAATTGTCCCCTAAGGAAGGTAGGCCAGGTTATTTCCACTTTAAAAGATGAGAACACCAGGCCAAGGAACATGCAAGCAAGCCGTCTACCACATCACATCCTGCCTGGGCTTCTGATTGCTCCTAGGCTACACGGCAGGGGCCACCAGGAGAGGGCTTCTAAGTTGTGTGGCCTCCAGAGAGCCTTGAGCGCTGACTCCCAATCACGTGCCTGTCTGAAAACAGATGAGAGCAAGAGGATGTGCTTCATAATGTCTGGGTGAGAATTAACATGAGTTCATAATGTCTGGGTGAGAATTAACATGAGTTCATAATGTTAGGGTGAGAATTAATATGAGTTCAAACACATAGTGTTTGGAACGGTGATGAATATTTAGCCTTTGTAACTGTTAATGCATTTTAGATTGTCTCATATTAGTTAATGCTATTATTTTTTGCTGCATTTTGGAAGACTTCCTTGCCATTATCGCCTAACCTTCCCGTATGACAATGGAGGGGATGTCTTTCATTTCTAAAAACAAAGGAGCACCTCGAAATCCAAGAATCACCTGGGTGCATATGTCACTTACACATTTCTCTCAATTCCATTTAATTGTTGAAACTGGTTTAAAAAAAATCTAAGCCAAGTTTTTAAAAAATATAACTAAAATTTAAATATGACATTACCAAAAAGCCTTTATAATTTAAGTGAACATTTCCATACTCATATACAATCTCTAAAGACAAATCAGATAAATTTTATTCTCAAATCACTTTTCTTCCCAAAGATGTTTTCCAAAAAGATGAAAAATACAAAAATTCAAATCTAATATAAAACAGGCTATAGTGCAATTTTATATTAGACAGCATCTTAAGCAAACAAAAATCCCACCAAAAACAAAACAAAACTCATTGTTGTCGAGTAGATTTGGACTCCCAGTCGCCCTATGGGAGAAAACCGAACTGCCCCGTTAGGTTTCTGTGATGCCCTGAATTTCTAGATCTGGCTACTTGGGGCACAGTCTGTAATTCCCACTGAATCAACTGGGTGGGATTTGCAAATGTGACGTGCTTATGACAATCTATTGGGATTAATTGGATAGCTTTCTAATAATGTAAAATTTGGGGTGGAACCATATAGTTAAAGTTTAAAGAACCCTAACAAGGGAAGTGGTCATTTTTGTCATCTTATATAGGCTTAAAATGAGCCATCCCAGAGACCGAAACAGGGATCTCACAGTTATCAAGAAAGATAAATCTAGAGTGAAGTGTTTTCTGTGGACCCTGAGACCCCAGGAAACAGCGCGCTGTGACACCAGAGACTAGGCGAGAGGTGGCAGAAACACAGAGGCAGCAGAACCAAGAACAAGAGACCTGACAGAGCTGTGGGCTTCCTAACCCACAGAGCAAGAAAGCTTAGTGCCTCCTTTGGGTCAAGGCTTACTGGCCAAGTGGATACTTAATTGGCCAAGTCACATTTGCCCCCACTTGGTCTGAGAAACAGAGAGCTGGAAGAGCTGTGTAACACTTGCCCAGGCAGGTCACAAAACTGAGGGCCTGAGCATGCTGTGAGCATGCCTAAGAGGAGGCTGTTCTGACTGAAGAACTGTATCTTGACCATTCCTGATCCTGAATTGTAACCAGTTACTTCCCTCATGAAGCCTTTAGTTGTGAGTATTGTCTGTGTGGCCAATGTAATGAATTATTGAACCCAACATAGAAGTAGAGCAGCGGTTGTCAATCCGAGGGTTGTGACCCCTTTGGGGATCGAACGACCCTTTCACAGAGGTAGCCTAGGACCATGGGAAAACACATATGTCCCATGGTCTTGGAAACCAAGACACCACTCCCCTATCTCAACCTTCGCTCTGATATTGGCTTTTAACATATACTGTTGCAAAATGTAGCAATGTAGTTTACTGTTGTTATATTATTATGACTGTTACCCATGCTACACCATGCTTCTAAACAAAATTTCATTTTTTTTTCATTAGAAATATTTAATAATATATAATTACATATTGTTTTGTGATTAATCAGTATGCTTTAATTACTGTATGTTGAATTTGTCACAATGAAAATACATCCTGCATATCAGATATTTACATTATGATTCATAACAGTAGCAAAATTATGGTTCTTAAGTATCAATGAAATAATTTGATGGTGGGGGTCACCACAGCAATGAGGAACTGCGGCATTAGGAAGGTTGAGAACCACTGAAGTAGAGAGTCCCGTGGCAGAACAGTTGGAGGGTGGAGGCGTGTCTGACCTGTGTCTCATAGAAATCAGCCTTGGGATGTTGGTTTTGACTCTCTCTCCCTTGTGAAGTCAGAGGAGGTCAGATGCCACACCCACACCAGTTTCAGAGTTCCCAGGTCTATTATCTTTAAGAAAGCCAGAATGCCATATCTTTCTTTGCAGAGAAGAGATTAGACTTGAACTACTGACCTTTTAGTTAGCAACCCAGTGCTGAACCACTGGGGCACCAGGCTCCTTAGAAAGAATTTTAAGATGATGTAAAAGAAAAGCATGGGTATGCAGACACTCAGCTGCTAACTAAAAGGATGGACAGTGGTTTAAGCCTACCAGTTGCTCTCTGGGAGAAAGATGCAGCAGTCTGCTTCCATAAAGATTTATAGCCTTAAAATTAATAAATAAATGTAAACTTTTTAAAACAAGATTTACAGCCTTAAAAACCCATGGGGAAGTTCTACTCTGTCCTACAGAGTCACTACATGTCTGATTCAACAGCAATGGTTTATGGTTTTCATATATTATAATGACAGCCACTGTGATAGGTTTTAGAGAGAAAAATAGGAATAAGATATCTCTGTCCATAAAAAAACCAAGTCTGGTAAAGAAAAAAATGCTATACAAGTAATATTATATTAGGTAAAAACTAAGCAAGCATAAATATGCACTGGACTTTAGCAACAATAATGTACCCATTATCAGCTCATTAACTAATAACCAAAAATACCACAGGGGCATGGCACATTAATAATAGCAGAAATCAGGTTGTCTTCATATAGGGAATTGTGATCACTGAGTTTTGTGTCAACTTGGCTCAGCCAGGATTCTCAGTGGTTTGCCACCTAGGGCCTGGTTACTCCTGTGATGTGATTTATCAGTGCAATCGAGTCCATGCTGGGTGGGATCCGCAGTGGGCAGCAAAGCAATTCTAAGAGCACTAGGGAGGAGTAGCAGCCTTCTTTCTCAGGCCACAGCCCTTCTTGGGACGTGT